TCGTGTGGTGAAAATTAGTTGTAGAGCTGATTTGTGATAATGACTAGTGATTAAAAGGGTTAGCGACAATGGTTAGGTCACGAAGCCGAGTATGGAGATTACACACAAGGCAAAAGTATTACGAGCAATGACACATGTGTTGCAGTCTGGAGGGTCTGTGCCTCATGCAATGGTGATATTGTCAATCTCTTGGCTAAGAATTGGGTGGTCACTATTGGTCGTATCTACATGCAACGCTAATTTGGTAGTTGATGGTTCAGTCAATTTGGCCCTTAGTCAAGAGTCTCATTTTAAATGGCATGTGCTTGTGCTCATGGCGTACGTAGGATTTTTGGTAAGGGTGTCAACATTTGAAGAAAATGAACAAATGAATAAATCACTATAATGACAAGCGGTGTCATTTTTTATACTTATACCTATATTTTCATTTTGTGTATTATATATATATATATATATATATATATATATATATATATATATATATATATATTTTATAAAAATTTTGACGAAGCCGCTTCTTGTGCAATTGTACCTTCTAGCATTTCTTGGCATGTTAAGAAAGATAACATTGGAGTTCCATTTCCTCGCTTAAATATCAAAGTGTCAAGATTAATTATCCATCTTAGCCCAGCTTAGTTTGTTATTGGAGTGTTAGTGTTAGTTATTAGTTAGTGGAGCAGTTAGTACAGCTAAGTGACAGCTGTAGAAGTTAGTTAGTTAGCTGATTTCATTTTCCTCGTTTTGCTTCTGATTTTCGTTTGTATATAGTGGGCACTCCAATCACTTTTCATTTTGTGTGAATAGAAAAAATCTCCAGAATCTTCTTCTTCCTCTCTCTTCATCTTCTTCTTCTTCACTCTGACCTCCCATGGCATAGAGGTTCAGATCTGTTCATCATCGAAGCTCGATTGAGCTTTGAGCTATTGTTTCATTGAGAATTCTAATATGGTATCAGACCGAGGAACATAAATCTGGACCCTCCTCTACGAATCTATTAGTTCTAATTCCATCAGTCTCGATTTCAACTAAACCGCACTCATGCAAGTTCATTTTTCCATTGATTTCAAGCTACAATTCTGAAGAGGTTATATTCTGTTTCTGAATCTATAATCGCTTGGAAATTATTGTTAGTTTTGTAATCGCTAGATTCAGTCCTTAATTGTTTATAAATTTCGTATTGAACGAGATGACGAAGGTCGAAGACGATAATCAATCTACACCATCTATGGCTGAGTCTCCTAATCAGTCAAGTGTTGGTATCAGTAGTCCTTTGTACATGCATCGATATGATAATCCCGGAGAAGCTTTAGTTCCTGTTCTATTTGATGGCTTTGGATATCGATCATGGAGAAGGGGTGTAATGCGATCCCTGTCAGTGAAAAATAAGCTGGGATTTATCAACGGGGAATACAAGAGGCCAGATCTAGATTCATCAAAATTTCGATTATGGGAGAGATGCGATGACATGGTCACTTCATGGATTCTGAATTCCTTAACTAAGGAAATTGCAGATAGTGTTGAGTATGTAGCAGATGCAGCTAAATTGTGGAAAGAACTTGAAGATCGATATGACCAAACGAACGGAACAAAGCTATACCGGATCCAAAAGGAAATCAATGATCTATCCCAAGGAGCCCATGATATCACTGGTTATTACACAAAGATGAAGAAACTATGATAGGAACTCAACACTTTGATTGCTAAATCTCATTGCACACGTGGAGCTAAGGAAAGCATGCACAAAGCTGAACATGATAGGAGGTTGATACAATTTCTCATGGGATTAAATGAGACATACACTGTGGTTCGAGGCAGTATACTGATGATGAATCCTCTTCCTACAATTGCCCAAGCCTTTTCTTTACTAATTCAAGAAGAAAGGCAGAGAGAAATCAAGCCAAGTGGTCATTTGGCTCTAGAATCATCAGCCTTGAGTGTTGGCACAAACAGACCTGGATCGTTCAAGACAAATTATTCTCCCAATATCAATCACAACAACAGGAACAGGCCTTTTTGTGATTTCTGTAAGAGACTAGGGCACACCAAAGAGAAATGCTATAAGCTTCATGGATACCCTCAAAGTTTCAGTCAGAATCAGAATCCAAATGTAAATAAAAATCAAACCTCATTTCAATCAAAATCCCAGGTAAAATTTCAACTACAATTAGAATAATAGGTTCAATAGAGGGAATAGAGCAGTGGCTAATGCACATGTAGCAACAGCTGACACACAACCTGCTGAGTCTGAGAAATATGCTACTCATGATAATGCTCAAAGTGTAAGTCTCACCCACGAGGAATACAGCCAGTTGGTGAATCTACTGCAGCAGTTTCAATCAGGAGGAGGAAGAGACTGCACAACTAATGCTAATATTACATCAGGAACATCAAACTTTGCATGTATCATCGCTTGTCATGTGAATGTTTTAAAAACAAAGCTGACTCGTGGATTATAGATTCACGGGCATCAAACAATATGACCTTTAAAAAATCCTTATTAACCAACATAATAGCTTTACCCTATCCTTTGTTAGTTGTACTTCCAAATGGCTACAAGGTAAAGGTGACAGAAATTAGCAGTGTGATGCTCACTCCTAAGATCACTCTAGAGAACGTGATGTTTGTTCCCTCCTTTAGATACAATCTAATCTCAGTTCATTCTTTGGCCTCCTATCTCAATTGTCTTGTTGCTTTTGTCAAACACTGTTGCATATTGCAGGCCCCTTCAATGAAGAGGCCTCTGGTGATTGGTAGAGTGAGAGATGGGCTATACATCTTGTGCCCTAGCTGTCTAAAGAGGAACGCTACAAGTCTTGCAGTAAAGACTACTCATGCCCTGCCCACTACTTCTACTTGTTGCACTTGTAGCACATATTGTCCCTCTCATTCTATTGTAAATAGGCCATTACATTTCAATAAGTGTGTTTCTTCTTGTCCAATTGTAAATAGTCCATGTGCAAGTATTGAAGAACAACATTCCTTTACAATACCATCTTCTAAAGTTCTTAATATATACTCTCATCTCTGTGCTATAGGTAATACAGATGTGTTGTGGCATAATAGACTTGGACATGTCCCATTTGTCAAAATAAAAACCATCACTTCTATCCCTGTCAAGTTCTCACCTAAGAAACCCTTCAACTACACCATCTGTCCAATGGCTAGACAAGAAAGGCTACCGTTCCCTCAGAAAACCAGTACAACCAATAGAATTTTTAAACTCTTACATGTTGATTTGTAGGGCCCATATCATGTTCCTACACATGATAGATATAAATACTTCATAACTATGGTGGATGATTTTAATAGATCTACTTGGACTCGCCTTTTATCCAGCAAAAGTAATGCCCTTCAAATACTCAATGAATTCATGAATCTAGTAGAAAATCAGTTTGGTGTGACTATTAAATCCATAAGGCCAGACAATGGATTGGAATTCACCGACACAGAAGCAAATATCTTGTTTCAATCTAAGGGCATCATCCATCAAAGAACTTGTCCCTACACACCACAATAAAATGGTGTGGTGGAAAGAAAGCACAAATATCTCCTTGAAACAGCCAGGGCACTTCTCTTCCAATCCAAACTACCTTTAAGATACTGGGGTGAATGTGTTCCTTGTGCCACCTACATCATAAACAAACTACCCTCTACTTCTATTAACAATCAAACTCCATATGAACTACTGTACAAAAGAAAGCCAAAATATTCTCACCTAAAGAGCTTTGGTTGTTTGTGTTACCCTACTGTACCAATACCACACAGGGACAAGTTTGAACCCAGAACAACACCACATGTGTTTGTTGGTTATCCTTTCAACACTGTGAGAAAGCACGGGAAAAAATATATTATTGACTAATATTGATAATGATACAATGAGCCATATATATACTATACATGTCCTACTCCAAATACATATGGGATTAGGGTTATTTACTACTATTTAGACAATGAGACTAACACTCCCCCTCAAGCTGGTGCATATAAATCATATGTACCGAGCTTGTTACATATATAATTAATACGAGGACCAGTGAGGGACCTGGTGAAAATATCAGCAAGCTGATCATTCGACTTCACAAATTTAGTAGCAATATCTCCCGAGAGTATCTTTTCTCTAAAAAAGTGACAGTCAATCTCGATGTGTTTAGTTTTCTCATGGAACACTGGATTTGACGCAATATGAAGAGCAGCTTGATTATCACACACAAGTCCCATATGACTAATCTCACCAAATTTTAACTCCTTGAGCAACTGTTTGATCCAAATTAGCTCACATGTGGCCATAGCCATTGCTCGATATTCTGCTTCTACACTAGACCGAGCAACCACATTCTGTTTCATGCTCTTCCAATACACCAAATTTCCTCCTACTAAGACACAATATCCAGACGTAGAACGTCTATCAGAAGGTGATTCTTCCCAATCAGCATCTGAGTATCCAACGATCTGCTCATGGCCTCGATCTTCAAACAATAAGCCTTTGCCTGGAGCTGATTTTATATACCGAAGAATGCGGACAACTGCATCCCAATGACTATCACAGGGAGAATCCATAAACTGACTCACAACACTCACAGGAAAGGAAATGTTAGGTCTAGTCACTGTGAGGTAATTTAATTTACCAACCAACCGCCTATATCTTGCAGGATCTCTAAGAGGCTCCCCCTGTCCTGGCAGAAGTTTAGAATTCGGATCCATCGGAGTGTCAACAGGTCTACAACCTATCATTCCTGTCTCCTCAAGAATATCTAAGGCATACTTCCGTTGTGAGATCACAATACCTGAGCTAGACTGAGCGATCTCAATACCCAGAAAATACTTTAATCTGCCCAGATCCTTAGTCTGAAAGTGCTGAAAGAGATGTTGCTTCAACTTACTAATACCATCATGATCATTGCCGGTAATAACAATATCGACAACATAAACGACCATATAAATACAGAGATTTGAAGCAGAATGTCGATAAAATATAGAGTGATCAGCTTCACTACGAGTCATGCCAAACTCCTGAATAACTGTGCTGAACTTACCAAACCAGGCTCGAGGAGACTGCTTTAGACCGTAGAGGGACCGGCGCAACCGACATACAAGGCCACTAGACTCCCCCTGAGCAACAAAACCAGGTGGTTGCTCCATATAAACCTCATCTTCAAGGTCACCGTGAAGAAAAGCATTCTTAATGTCCAACTGATAGAGAGGCCAATGGCGAACAGCAGCCATGGATAGAAAAAGGCGGACTGATGCAATTTTAGCCACGGGAGAGAAAGTATCATTGTAATCGAGTCCAAATATCTGAGTATATCCTTTGGCAACAAGACGAGCCTTAAGTCGATCAACCTGGCCATTTGGACCAACTTTGACTGCATACACCCAACGACAACCAACAGTCGATTTACCTGAAGGAAGAGGAACAAGCTCCCAAGTACCACTCGTGTGTAAAGTAGACATCTCGTCAATCATTGCCTGTCGCCATCCGGGATGAGACAGTGCTTCACCTGTAGGCTTAGGGATGGAAATAGAGGACAAAGATGACACAAATGCACAATGGGATGATGAGAGACGATGGTAACTTAAACCGATATAATGAGGATTAGGATTAAGTGTGGACCGTATACCTTTTCGTAGTGCAATCGGTTGATTAAGAGGAGACAAGTCCGCAGTATTAGCAAGGTCAGGTGCAGGACGTGAATCAGCTGGGCCTGATGCTGGGGGCGGACGACGATGATAAGTCAGGAGTGGTGGAGCTGTAGTTGGTGGAACTGGACTAGGATGGTGGCACTGGAGCTATAGTTGGTGGAACTGGACTAGGTGGTGGCACTGGACTCGGTGGTGACACTGGAGCTATAGGTGGTGGGGTTGTAACTGGAACTGTAGGCGGTGGAGCTATGGAGGAAGATGAATGGGTGATAGGGACTGAATCTCCAAAAGAAGGAACAGGTAGCACCGCAGAAATATCTAAGTGATTAACTGGACCTGTTAAGTATGATTGGGTTTCAAAGAAGGTGACATCAGCAGACAAAAGAAATCGCTGAAGGTCAGGAGAATAACATCGATATCCCTTTTGCGTTCTCGAGTAACCCAGAAATATGCACTTAAGAGCACGAGGAGCTAACTTATCTTTTCCTGGAGTAAGGTCATGAACAAAGCACGTACTCCCAAAGACAAGGGGTGGAAGAGAGAACAAAGGTAAGTGGGGAAACAGGACAGAGAATGGAACTTGATTTTGGATAGTTGAAGATGGCATACGATTAATAAGATAACAAGATGTAAGAACTGCATCCCCCCAAAAACGCAGCGGAACATGAGATTGTATGAGTAGGGTACGAGCAGTTTCAATAAGATGTCTATTCTTTCTTTCAGCTACCCCATTTTGTTGGGATGTGTACGTACAAGATGTTTGATGAATAATCCCATGGGAGTTCATAAACTGTTGAAATGGGGAAGACAAATACTCTAGGGCATTATCACTACGAAATATGCAGATAGAAACCCCAAAGTGATTTTGAATTTCAACATGGAAGCTCTGGAAAATAGAAAACAACTCAGATCGATTTTTCATCAAAAATATCCAAGTGCACCTGGAATAATCATCAATGAAACTGACAAAGTAGCGGAATCCTAAGGTAGAACTAACCCGACTAGGACCCCAAACATCTGAATGGACTAAAGTAAAAGGTGACTCTGCTCGATTGTCAAGATGCCACGGGAAATGGGAGCGGGTATGCTTACCGAGCTGACACGACTCACACTCTAGAGTGGACAAGTGAGATAAGCCAGGTACCATTTTCTGAAGTTTTGACAAACTGGGATGTCCTAACCGTTTATGTAATAAATCCGGTGAATCTGTAACGGGAGAAGTTATTGGAGGAAGACAAGATGTGAGTCCATGTGATTTTGCAATGATGAGGTAATAAAGTCTATCTGATTCACGTCCGGTACCAATGATCTGTCCTGTACTGCGTTCCTATATAAAAACAAGATCATCAAGAAATAAAACAACAGAGTTAAGTGATTTGGCTAAGCGACTAACGGCTATGAGATTAAAAGGACTACCAGGAACATAAAGAACTGAGTCTAAAGGTAAGGAAGGAAGTGGACTTGCTTGACCTATTGCAGTTGCCATGGCTTGAGACCCATTGGCCATTGTGACTGTTGGAAGAGATTGAGAATATGAGATACTAGTGAAAAGAGATTTGTTACCAAAATATGATCAGATGCACCTGAATCAATGACCCAAGACTTAGAAGGTGAATATTGGGAGACACCAGTCATGCTACTATTTGTTGGAACAATGGAGGTTAATCCTGAAGATGTCTGTTTACGTACTTTGTACTGAAGGAACTCAATATAATCCGGTAAAGAAACCATCTGGATTGGATTCATTGCATTTAATCCAACGGACTGTGAGTTAAGGGCTTCAGGTAGGAATTCCATTATAATATCGTGCCGGAAAAAGCAGAAAATTGACGGGATCACTGCTCACGCCGGAAAAATCACTGTAGCTCGCCGGAAAAAAACTCAAAGTGGTCGAAATTTGATTTGAACTAGATGGGTAGGCTCGAATTTGTGAGGAGAGCAAGCTGTCCTGAAGGAATTTCGCGAAAAAGTGGCCGAAAACAGTGTCATGCGCCGGCGCGTGGGCGTCGGAGCTTCGCCGGAAAATTTCTTCCGGCGGCGCGTGGGGGGTTTTCTGACGGAGAAATTTTTATGGGTTGGTCGCCGGAGGCCGATCTACTTCGTGGTGGTGTTGGTTTTTGCACAACAGTGACAAAAAGTGATTCTTTTGTTACGGACAGCCTCTTAAGTCGCCGGAAAATTGCACGGCAACGAGGTCTTTCTTCCCGGAGCCCGCTGGAATGATGCTCATCGATAATTTCTCACTGACGCTCTGATACCATGTGAGAAAGCACAGGAAAAAATATATTATTGACTAATATTGACAATGATACAATGAGCCCTATATATACAATACATGTCCTACTCCTAATACATATGGGATTAGGGTTATTTACTACTATTTAGACAATGAAACTAACAAACACAAAGGGGTACAAAGTCATGAGCCTAGCCACCAGGAAAATTCACATCTCCAGAGATGTGGTCTTTAATGAGTCCATCTTTACTTTTGCAGTCAATATGAACAAATCTCCTCAGTCATTTGTCTCCCATCCAATTCCTTTCATTGAGTCCCTTTGCGAGCAACCTTCTGATGATATAAATGTCACACAAGTGTCTGAGAACTTGAGTGATCAAAGGATTTCAGATAACACATCCAATCCTATGTCACCTGTACATGTAGCTTCCTCATCACCTTCTGCAGTGCCCACTTCTTCACTACCTGATCCACCACAATAACACTACTCTAAACAGACTCATGGAGAACCTATCCAACTGGTAAGACAATCACAAAGGACTCATAAACCACCTATCTATCTACAAGATTATGTACATTCCCTTCCTCACCTCAAAACAAATTCTGTCTCCCTAAACGCTTTATTCTTTGTGAATCATCATATTGCCTCTGATCTACTAACTACCAATAGTCAGACTCTTGTGAGAAATATTTGTCATGACAGGAAACCATTATTATATGAGGAGGCAACCATTGATCCTGCATGGCAAGTAGCAATGACACAGAAATTTGAAGCACTATATTCCAATCACACTTGGGGCCTAGTAATCTTGCCACATGGGAAGCAAGAAATAGGTTGCAAATGGGTCTACAAAGTGAAGCACAAAGCAGATGGCAGCATTGAAAGGTTCAAAGCCAGACTGGTTGTTAAAGGTTACACTCAACAGGCAGGGATTGATTATATAGAAACTTTATCACCAGTGGTGAAGATGACAACAGTGAGGACCTTGATACCTACAAATGTTAAGGAAGGCCGGTCCATATCTCAATTGGATATAAACAATGCTTTCCTACATGGAGACCTCAATGAGGAAGTGTATATGCAAGTACCGTCTGGACTAGTTGTAGATAAGCCATGATTGGTTTGTAAGCTGAACAAGTCTCTTTATGGCTTGAAACAAGCTAGTCGACAATGGTATGCAAAATTGACTGAAGCATTGTGCTCAAAGGTTTATGTACACTCCATGTATGATTACTCTCTCTTCTACAAAAGAAATGGAGAATCCTCAGTATATGTTGCAGTTTATGTGGATGACGTACTACTCACTGGAACTGACCAACAGGAAATTGCATAACTCAAAGGATTCTTACATGAACAATTAAGATCAAGGACCTGCGACAACTACACTACTTCCTGGGGTTGGAGATTATGTATAAAGATGATGGGGTAATTATATCTCAAAGGAAGTTTGTACTAGACTTGTTAAAGGAGTACAATTGTTTGGATTACAAGCCTTGTTCTTCACCTTTGGATCCCACTACAAAGCTGAAGGCCAAAGAAGGCACAATTCTGCAAGACCTTACCTATTACAAAAAGCTAGTAGGGAAACTGAACTTTCTAACTAATACCAGATTGGATATTGCATATAGTGTTCAACACTTGAGCCAATTTATGCAGGAGCCCAGAGAACCCCATCTAAAAGCAGCATTTCACCTTCTCAGATATCTGAGGAATGATCCTACTTTAGGAATTTTCATGTCAAAGGATGGAGATCACACAGTTAAAGCTTATTGTGACTCTGATAGGGCAGCATGCCCGGATTCTAGGAGATCCATTACAGGTTATTTAGTACTGCTGGGCAATAGTCCTATCAGCTGGAAATCTAAGAAACAAAAGACCATATCTCTATCCTCTGCAGAAGCAGAATATAGAGCTTTGAGGAAAGTAGTGGGGGAACTAGTATGGTTGAGCAAATTACTTGAGGAACTGACTGTCCCTTTTTTTCTTGCCTATCTCAATTTTCTGTGACAGTTAGTCTGCACTGCACATTGCAAAGAATTTAGTGTTTCACGAAAGAACCAAGCATATAGAAGTGGATTGTCATTTTGTGCGTGATCAACTACAAGCAGGCTTAATCTCTCTCCACCACATTAGAACAGACAATCAGCTTGCAGATGTTTTGACTAAAGCCCTGACTGGGATCAAGCACAGTGCTACACTAGGCAAGTTGGCTGTGTTCACTACACCTCCAACTTGGGGGAGGGGGGGGGGTGTCAAGATTAATTATCCATCTTAGCCCAGCTTAGTTAGTTATTGGAGTATTAGTGTTAGTTATTAGTTAGTGGAGCAGTTAGTATAGCTAAGTGACAGTTGTAGAAGTTAGTTAGTTAGCTGATTTTATTTTCCTTATTTTGCTTCTGGTTTTCGTTTGTATATAGTGGCACTCCACTCACTTTTCATTTTGTGTGAAAAGAAAAAATTTCTAGAATCTTCTTCTGCCTCTCTCTTCATCATCTTCTTCTTTGCTCTGACCTCCCATGACATAGAGGTTCAGATCTATTCATCATTGAAGCTCAATTGAGCTTTGAGCGACTGTTTCATTGAGAATTCTAATAAAAAGTTAGCTCCAAATCAAATTCTATTTCCTCCACATGTTGCAAAGTTCGAATTAGCCCCTTGGGTGTATGGATTCCAACCGTAACATTGGAAGTCAATGGTGTGAAGTTACTCGAGGCTTTGGTAATAGGGAAAATGAGTATTTGCATGCAGCCGAATTTGTTTTCCGCGTGAAAAGGACGGAAAGGAAAATGCTTTTCCATTATGTGATTCCGATTGGAAATTCCCTTTTGGCACAAGTGGAAGTGGAGGTATTTGTACACTTTTCACTTTCCATTTTAATTGGAGGTTATAAATTTGTAAGTTATTAAAAAAATATGTATTTTTTATATATAATTAGTATAACTTAAACTATTACAACATTAAAAAAAAAAAAGATAGCCTGGTGCACTAAGCTTTTGCTGTGCATGGAATTCGGGGAAGAACTAGACTACAATGATATGTACTTTGCCTTACCTTGTGTTTCTTCAAGAGGCTGTTTCCACGGCTTGAACCCGTGACCTCTTGGTCACATGGCAACAATTTTACCAGTTACGCCAAGGTTCCTCTTCAAAAAGACAGTCCGATGCACTAAGCCCCCGCTGTACGCGGGTCCGCACAAAGACCGGACCACGAGAGTCTATTTTAAGCAGCTTATCCTGCATAACTTAAACTATACAACATATTTGATTAATTTATTATTTCTTCTAGGTTATCAATTGATATTACTATAAGATCTAAGTGACATAATTATGTAAATATTTTTTTTACACATTTGATGTAGAGAATTTAATCTCAATAAAATATATGAAATTAAATTTGGAGATTGGCTTTTAAGATGGAGTTTAGGACGTTGGCCCTGGCTCATGCACCTTTTATATTTTAATGGAGTTATTTTCTCTTTATTCAGTTATGTCCTTTCACACTTCCGTTTCCCTTTTCATTTCTTCTTGATATATAATTATGTACATATACTCTGTCTTTTTTTTTTTTGTAACTAAATTGGAGATAATTTGATCTGTATAAATTAAGAATTATTCCTTTGACTTTCTGATTGTATTGAGTTCGAGAAAGAGTCAATTAAAAAAACAGTTTAATATAGAAATAAAAATTATTTAAGAAATGTCACATCATGTTTGAAATCATTTTAAAAAGGCCATTTTTGAATTAGTTTTACTAAGGAAATACGTCATAATTTTTTTGGGTATATACGAAAATGAAATGTCAATTTTATAACAAAAGTGAAAGTAGTAGTTTTTCCTTTTTTACACATTTAGTAGTTAAGCAATGGCTTATAATTTTTTTTTTTATGGTGCTCAAGCATATATGGATCTCGACTATTTCTTAGAATATATATATTTTTCTACTATTACAAGTATTAGACATTTTGTCCGCTAAAACTTAAATATATAAGAAAAATCACATATACTTTTTGCCTCTATAAGGATTGAAATTTTTATCTTCATAGTTTGCATTTTATTTTATCGACGCAAGATCACACCCTTGTATGCATATAACTTGTTGCAATTAGGGGTGCTTATCGGGCGGATAATTACACTTAGCAGTTTAACTTATCGGTTATCGGATTATAAATATAGTAATCCGCTAGCCATCCAATAAGATAATGGGCGGATTGGTATTGGATTAATGATTATCGGCTAAATCAAATAGAATTTTTTTTAACAATCCTAGTCTTGTGAATACCAAACGGCTAGACTGCATAGTTCGCTGGCTTTTATCATTTTAACTTATCATTCATAATCCTCACTGCATTACTCAATGAAGACTTCTCATGGAGTACAAGAACATTCTCTAGAATAAATTTTTTGAATACTCTTAATAAAAATATGTGTAGAATCTAAAACTTTTGAACACCACGAGAAAGACGTGGGGCTCACCCGTGAAGGCTAAATCTGCTGCTAAAACTTCAATTGTAGGTTCGTCTTTGCTATAACATTGAAAAGAAACAACAAGATGGAAATGGAAAATCTCAATAGTACTTTCATACATAGGGCTAGAAGTGTAAGTATAAAAATTCTTAACGGGTTAACGGTTTATCCGATAAGAACATTGAGTAATCCGCCTCCAAACCGTTAAACCGTTATTTATAAAATCTCAATCCGTTCACCATTCATTGCCCCGATAACCCGATACCAATAAGTCATCGATTCGATTAACGGTTCGATTTTGAACGGCCCTAATTGTAACATCACACAACGTTATTTTTCACTTATCTCGAAGTCATTTTTTTTTTTTGTGTTACTTTTTTTGGTTGGGTGGGGTGGGGGATGTTGCGGGGGGGGGGGTTTGTTGCTTTGACATTTCTATGTTCGAGAAGGTCTCAATTTTTTCCCCTCTTTTTGAGGTACAATTTCCAATTAAAGAAAATGGTGGGACCCAATAAATGAGACAAATTCGGTGTGGCCGGTGGTAGATAGACGCATGTGAGAGTAGGAAGTCAATAAGCATAAGATACTTAGCTAGCGTTTGGCCATAGATATCAAATTAATTTTGAAAAATCTAATTTGGGTGAAGTTTGGTTTGAAGATGAAAATGTGTTTGGACATATGTTTTCAAAACATATTTTCCAACTTTATTTTGGAAAAACATGTATATAATTCCCAAGTTTTGGGATTTTGGCCCAAAATCAGCTATTGCTGATTTTGGGATTTGAGATTTGAGATTTGGAATTTGGCCAAAATATGGGTAAAATTTATGGCCAAACATGAGTTTTGAAAATAAATCCCAAATTTATTTTGGCAAAACTCATGGCCAAACGGGGCCTTATTATAAAATTTTTTGGGGGATTTGCATTTATACCCGCTTTTTGGGTCACGTTTTAACTTGTGCCCGCTTTTGCAAAAAAAATTACAAGCGTACCCACTTTTTCGCGTAACTTCAGCATACGTGGCTGAAGTAGCAAAGGCAATCACGCAAAACTTCAGCATTCTAGTAGACGGGCCTGAAGTAGCAAGTGTGCTGAAGTTTTTGTTTATAATTGCTGAACTTAAGCATAATAGTTGAAGTTTTGTTCTCTATTTGCTGAAGTTTTTGTTTGTAATTGCACTAAATAAACTGAAGCTTTTTTGTCCTAGATTCATTGGTTTTGTCATTAAGCTTTTTCAAAAAACTTCAGCAGAAGATGCTGAAGTTATTTAGTTCATTTATAAAAACTTCAGCACTAAATAAGCTGAAGTTTTTTTGTCCCGAATAAGCTTTTTCAAAAACTTCAGCAGAAGATGCTGAAGTTATTTAGTTCATTTGTAAAAACTTCAACACTAAAAGCTGAAGTTTTTTTGTCCTAGATTCATTAGTTTTGTCATAAAGCTTTTTCAAAACTTCAGCAGAAGATGCTGAAGCTATTTAATTCATTTGTAAAAAAGCTTTTTCAATGACTTTCTTTTTTTTTTTATATTCTTTTTCTCTTCATAATTTAATTTCATTTACCGTTTTCACTATTTTTTATTATTCTTTTTTTATACAATAAGAAAAAATAATTGATATAGTAAATATTTGTTCTATCTTTTTTTAATACTAGTCTCTACGTTCGTGCGATGCACGAAATATTTGGGTCAAATATTGTTTAACACGTATGAAAAGTAAAGCTTAAAAGTTGAAAATAATATGTGGATTAAGCTGTAGGAGTTCGCTTAGAATGATGGCAATATAAGATATGAAAAGTTATTCAAAACGTTTATCCGCTGGTGATAATGACTGTAATTTTATATATAAAAACAATATGCCCTTGTTTAACATCCATGAAAACAATCCAAGATAAACACTAATATATGCATATTTCTTTCACCATCTGAAAGAAGAAGAAAAAATAACACAGAGATTTAACTCTATGGACAATCTTTAATTAAGGAACATGTATTAGTAACTTAAAAGCTAAAAATAATGCACTACTTGCTCTCACTTAATGTATTTTCATCTTCTTCTATCTACCTTCAGCCGATTCCTGCAACCAAAACTTAGGGGCGTTAGTAGCCTTATAACATGCGTTTAATTGAACCCATAACTTTCGACGCGAAGTACAAATTTATATGCTAAAAATAACTAAGCAATAAATTATAGATATGAACCCATAACTTTAAGAATATAATGAGTTAAGTAATAAGAGCCTTAAAGTTTGAAACCATAGAGTTTAAATCCTGATTCCGCCACTACCAAAACTTCTCTCATGTGTAGAGTTTTCAAATTGAAATTTTAAACTTAGAAAAAGTAAATTCCATAAGTATCCATATACCTTTTCTTGTAACTGACTCTATATATCAATTGGTGTCGACTACATCATTATTAGCATGAGACTTTGGGTTCATAGTTTTTCTCGCCTATCTTCAAAGATTTAAGAGATTTCTTTAGAATTAATATTAGATTAGGACTACGCTTAATGTCTAGGTAGGAGATTAGAGATCTAGTTAAATTGGAAT